AATAGTGTATGAGTGGGTGTGTGATTGGGACAGTGTATGGATGTTTCCCAGTGCTCCCAGGTTTGCAGCTGGATGGGCATCCACTGCGTAAAACATATGCCGGAATAGTTGGTGGTTCATTCTACTGTGGCAAAACCTGATAAATAAGGGACCAACACAACTCTCTTCAGTGGCCTGGGGTCCGTTCTTCGTATGTGGATTAGCTGGATTTGGTTACTGACGATTTGACACGATCCAGGATCGTTTCGTTCTTCAAAACTGATCCGAGAGTTGTTGTCATAGCAACAGTTCTGGTAGCTCAAACCTGGTCGGGAGCAGGCTCATTTCACATAAACAGGATTAGATCGGCTCAGTTCAAGCAAAGAAAATACTGAAAGTATGTACCGAATACTTCTTACAGTAGTAGTTATATACACTTGGGAAAATAGTAAATATTTTAAACTATATAAAGTTAAATATATATATAATAATATACATATATATATATATATATATATATATATATATATATATATATATATATATATATATATAATAAAACTTGCAATCTGCATTACGAAATGAAAGTACAAAGACTGTCACCTGGTGGTGCAAAGAGAAAACTTATAAAGCAATAATACATTCATGCAGTCATAAACATGTTTTGACAGTCAATATGACAGTTATTTGATATTTTATTTTTAATTATTTTTAATTCAATTTTTATTTTTAATATTTTAATTATTTATTTCTTATAAATTAAGAAAATTAAGAATTAAATTATTATTTAATAATTTACGCTAATTAAAAAAACAGTTACTATAATACTACTATGGCTACTATAATAAGGAAAATCCGCTCTAACTGTAAAACTAAACAAACTGCTCTTGACAGATAAAAGGGCCAAGCATGCAGCCCACAACAAGGTGTAAATTTATTTGTATCATATTTAACAAAATGTTTACTACGAATTTTATGTAATTTAGCCCACATGGATAATTGAATATTAATCAGATGATGTCATTACGCTGCTGTGCTGTCAGCCAATCGCTGCATTGCTGATCATGATTTCGAGGATCGATAGATCTGTCCTTCACAACACGCAGCGATCTCAGATCAGTTCATCCAGACATTTTAATCTGATCCACGAACTTGTTTGAAGAACCAAATTAGCCAGAGATCAGTTATCAACAATTAAAGGACCTGCCAGGACCTGCCTTATCATCTTAGATCATTTAAGCGAGCTACAAAGAACAGACTCCTGATGTCAGTTCTGCAGGCTGAACCGTAAACAAACAAAATAAAATCAGCAGAAACATGTTGAGAATCAAGAAGATATCAAACCTTAGCAAGTTCTTCGATCTCTTTGCCGAAATTAGCGTCTCCCTCTGGAACCTCCTCGTCTTCAGGGGTCTGATCGTCATCATAATCAGGCAACAGCATCTCTGTTCATGGGTCAAAACAAGCATTGTCAGAACCAACCAAAACTTTGCTTGAGCAAACCATGGACAATATACAGTTAAGGTAAAAATTGTTAGCCCTCCAGTACAGTTTCTTTTCTTTCTCAAATCTTTCCTTTGTGATGTTTAACAGAGCAAGGAATTTTTCACAGTATTTCCTATAATAGTTTTTCTTCAGGAGAAAGTCTTATTTGTTTTATTTCAGCAAGAAAAGAAGTAATATTTCATTTTATTAAAAACATTTTCAGGTCAATATTACAGACATCTAAAGTCTCCCGGAAGTACCCGATAATGCATAGAGACTGCAGGACGCCTGCAAATGAATGATAATCTCTCGGAAATCACGCATCTCCCGTCTGGTCCTCAAATACGTAGCGCACCCCTTGCCACCGCATCCCTCCTCGCTGTTCAGATACGTTGCGTCATCAGCACCCAGAACAACACCCCAACAAAAAGTCTCCTGGAATAATCTAATAATTCTGACTTCAACAGTATAAAGACAAATTTATAAGTAGAATGTTGAATATTATTCATTCATTCATTTTCTTGTCGGCTCAGTCCCTTTATTAATCCGGGGTCGCCACAGCGGAATGAACCGCCAACTTATCCAGCAAGTTTTTACGCAGCGGGTGCCCTTCCAGCCGCAACCCATCTCTGGGAAACATCACACACACACTTACACACTACGGACAATTTAGCCTACCCAATTCACCTGTACCGCATGTCTTTGGACTGTGGGGGAAACCGGAGCACCCGGAGGAAACCCACGCGAACGCAGGGAGAACATGCAAACTCCACACAGAAAATGTTGAATATTATTAACTATTAAATAGTTAAACGCTATTTACACAGAGTGCAACCAGCATTATTGTCACTTCGCATTATTATCAATATATCGACTAATCACATGGACATGACCTCAATCATTTTTGGTGATGCGATATACAGTTGAAGTCAGATTTATTAGCCCTCCTGAATTGTTAGCCCCCCTGTTTATTTTTGTCCCCAATTACTGTTTAAAGGGCCATGACACCCCCACTTTCGGTTAAAGTCTAGTTCAGAATTTTTCCAAAAGATGCATGATTAATGGGCGTGGAGCTCCGCGAGCATCGGGCAGGAGTGGGCGTGGCCAGCAGGGGAGAAGGGGAGCGAACAACTGTTGATGTCAGTTAGCTCACAAATTGAGACAAACCGTGAGGAGACGCATGAGTTTATAGTTCACAAAGTTAAAATGCAAAGAAACAAGCAGTAATTTAATGCCCTGCTACATTTGCTATTTGTAATTTCATATACAGATAACCACAATTTATATCATTATAAAGATAAGTGTGTTCATATAAACACTATAAATGAGGACTTCTCCCTCAATCCCCAGGTCTGAATCATAGATCTAAATGCAGACTCAGTGAAGCAGGTCTTCTGACCTGTCTATTTTAACCATTAGTCTTGCTGGTAATCTGGAGGATTTAGGCAAACACAGCAGCACGGCGATGTGTTTGAATGTGAATGAACTCCTGATACAAGACAACATCCGCCATTCTCCAATTCTCGTGCTGCTCTCCCGACAAAAATGCTTGCAGCACACACACAGCTTTGCTGTATGATCGGCCCTGACAGGATCGCGGGGAAAAACATGCAACAAACCCCGTGGATCATGGAAACAAACACATACGAGCCTTCATAAACGGCTACTGCATGCCCGTGGGTCCGTGTCTCACAGCTTGAGCTTGGCACTGGTCTGGCAGGTCTGCGTCTGCCTTGCCTTCGGAAAGGGCGTGCTGTCATACTCTCATGAATAATTAAGCAGCCGGCTCTTCTCATAGGATAAGGAAACTCCGCTTTGAATAATAATGAGAAACCAACGCGTCATCATTGCACTTGCGGTACTTCGCTACGGCGCCGATTTTGATCCCTCCCCAAAAATCATTTAAACCCGGAAGCTGAAATGAGCTGACAAAAGCTCAAAATTATCCAGTTTTCCCCACAATTAAAGCTGACAGGTGCTAACATTGTCTTAACTGATGCTCAACACACACAAATATGTTAATATATAAAAAAAAGACCTCCAGGGTGTCCTGAACCTTTAATGGAGAGCAGATTGTTTAACACATTTCTAAACATAATAGTTTAAATAACTCATCTCTAATAACTGATTTATTTTATCTTTCCCATGATGTCAGTAAATAATATTTGACTAGATGTTTTTTAAGACACTTCTATACAGTATGTGTGACTTTAAAGGCTTAACTAGGTTAATTAGGTTAACTAGGCAGGTTAGGGTAATTAGGCAAGTTATTATATAATGATGATTTGTTCTGTAGACTATTGAAAAAACATTGCCTAAAGAGGCTTATAATATTGATCTAAAAATGGTTTTAAAAAATTAAAAATTGCTTTTATTCTAGCCAAAATAAAACAAATTAGACTTTCTCCAGAAGAAGAAATATTATCAGACATACTGTGAAATGCAACATTTTAGCTGATTGCACAATATCTACCTCTATTGAAGGTCTAGGTGTGGTTAAAAAACACTATAGTATTTACTATAAATTACTAAAGTATATTTTAATGTGAGTGTCTAGACAACTGAAAATAGATCTAGTAGAAGATATCACAGCCTTTGTTACTCCTTGCCTTGCACTTTTTTTTGTTAACATTTACTTCTATTTGCTTAACATTTTTTTGCTTAGCGTTTTCACATTCTGATTCCAATGCCTGATTTATAAATTGCTAAAATGACAATAATTACATGAAATATTCTTAAGAATAAAATATGATGTGTACTTTGAAAGAGTGTACTTGCATTGTGATGACACTTTATTGTCATTCTGGCATCAAATGAGTGGCTTAAAATGGTCTTCACATGACTATAATATCGTTTATCGCAAAATATTTTGGTGCAATATATCATACAACAGAAAATAAATATCACAATAGGCCTATTTTCAAGTATAGATAAATGTTTAATTATATTAATAAAATCCAAACAAAAAAAGAAAATTAGTTTGTATTATTACAAACTAAATATCTTCTTTTTGTATAATATCATAAAAATAATATTATTTTTGTATTTCTAAGCATCCTAAATAGATGCTGCCTAATGGAAGCATTAGTAAAATACTTCAAATCCTACTAAACTCTCAATTCCCACTATTAAATATCGATTAGACAGTTTCGATTATCTAAATTTTAAATTCAAACCAATAGGTGATGGGAAAAGGTCTACTCTTCAGGCCACTGCTGATGTTTTCAGATGATTTCAGATGTTTTCATTGTGTAAAAAAAAACTTCTGTCAACTAGTCAGGCTATTTGCACTTGGTGTAAATAAACACTGCATAGTTTTCTGCAATAGGAAATCTAGTAGCCGTCTTACCTGGGCTTGAACTCCCCAAAGAGGGCTAAAAACAAGACACAAATGCATTTAAATCAACACAAGTCAAAATAAACTTCAACAATGTAAACACTATTTTCAACATCAAGCATGTCTTTCGATTTAAAAAGATAGAGCATATTTCAACAATTGGATTAACAATAAGTATAACAATAACAATAATATTGATAACAATAGTTATCAATAATTAAAATACCAAAGTTTTGATTGGAATACCAAAGAAATACAGAGTGTTAAACGGGAAAAAGTCAGTCCAAGGCAGTCGAAAAATATGGAAAAAATGTTAAAATCCTTTATTGACATGCCTATTCCTAAAAAATCGGCGCAGTTTAAAGGAATAGCCATGTCAATAAAGGCTTTTTAATATTTTTTTCTCATTTTTTGACTGCCTTGGACTGACTTTTGCTGTTTATTCTGATAAATCCCTTACCCAAAGAGCAAAGACACATTATTTAAGCTGTAAATACCAGGTGATACTTTAAGGTAAAGTTGTTTTTTATATTCGCACATTCGTTCATTTTTGAAAAGTGACAACTTGTGACACGGTGCCTATATTGTGCTTTGAATATTCAGTCGAAAATAGCATGCAAGTATGACTTCAATTAGCATTCATTGGCTGCTAATATGACTCCTCTATTTAGAATTTGCAAAGAAAACTTTTCTGAAATTATATTACAAAGAAAGTCAGAATGAGCAAATATAAAACCAACTTTACCTCAATCTTTTACTTGTGATCAAATTTATGGGTCACTGTTGGATCCAAGTCCTGATATTATTAGTTGTGAACTGCTTGACTAAACTTTAAACGTTAAATTAGCTTTAGAAATGCCTCAATAATATAAATAAGAATATGTAAAGATCTATAAAGTCATATATATAGTTATATAAAAACCTTTAAGTGCCGTCTGAAATTTCCATCGAAAATGAACATTTTTCTCAGCCTCCTTTGTTTATGTTGTGATATTTCACCTTAAAGACCAAGAAAAGGACTTATTCTTTACAATAAAAGTGATGTTACTGAACATACAGGAGCCGGATAAAAATGCTCATTTTAGAGGAAAATTTCAGACGGCATTTAGAGGTTTTTGCACCTGTACTCTTCATATAAATTTTTATATTTGTTATGATTAAATTATAATTAATAGTTATATTTATATATATAAAGTTAATCTAGAAAGTCTGAATCAGCGAAAATAAAACCAACTTTACCTCAATCTTTTATTTTACGATTAATTTTGGTACGTCGTTGTGTCACTGTTGGATCTGGGTCCTGATATAATTTGTTGTGAACTGCTTGGCTTAACTTTAAATGTAAATTAACTTTAGAAATGCCTCAATAACATAAAGAAGAATATGTTAGGATCTATAAAGTCATTCTATGTATGTATATATATATATATATATATATATATATATATATATAGTTATATTATATATAAATAATTAATATTGTTAAATTATAAACAATAGTTATATTTATATAAAAAAGGTTTATCTAGAATGTCAGAATGTGCGAAAATAAAACCAACTTAACCTCAGTCTTTTATTTTATAATCAATTTTGGTACGGCGTTGGGTCACTTTTAAATAAGTTGTGAACTCCTTCACTAAACTTGCAATATTGTAGTTAAATTAGCTTTAAAAATGCCTCAATAAAATCTATACAGGATCTATAATCTATGCAGACCTACTTACAAATAAAAATAAATATTTACTGCAGCAATTTTATCTTATTTTAATTAGTTTTGTGGACTATTAAAAATGCATTTTATGGATTAAAACATTGCAGCAAGCTAGGCCAATCTCCAACCGAACCCAAATAAAGAAAGAGATGCTCTGTATGTGTGTGTTTCTGTGTGACTCTGGAAGTTCAGGCTGATGTACAGCTAATACTTCGCCTAGCATTGATTAACATTGTTTTTAAGTACAAATGCGGCGTGTAAAATACCCATAAATTCAGAAAGGAACATTAAAAAAATATCAGCAGTCTCGTCAGCGTTTTTGCAAACACATTAGAGATAACTGACGCATGGTATCATATTAAATTATAACCATAGCAGAGTGCCAGGCTAACAGAAAGCGAGCTAACTCTATTAACTTTGCAGAAATACAATTTCAAAAAATATTAAAACAATTCAACGCGTCTTTCGGAATAAAATACCGCTTAACTTAACAACAATTATATTCGATATGATGCCATTTTAAAATCGGTTGACCAATAAAGTATCCCATTAAAATACAAATAAGCGGTTATTTATTTCTGGACAATAATGAGAATTTCCTTCTTACCTCCGCCATATTTACAGCGCTGCTAAGGGTCAGTGGAATGTGGGCGGAGTCAAAGAAAATCCCCGGATGATCTCTCTCTCTCTCTCTCTCTCTCTCTCTCTCTCTCTCTCTCTCTCTCTCTCTCTCTCTCTCTCTGTCTCTCTCTCAATTCCATTCTGTTCAATTCAATTCAATAACTGTTTTAAATGTAGATCAACATAAGATATTTTAAACAAAAGCAACATAAACACATTATAATAGTAATAATAATAATAACAATATTGAATAAAAATACGAATAAAATTATAATATAATATAATATAATATAATATAATATAATATAATATAATATAATATAATATAATATAGTATAATATAATATAATATAATAAATCCGAATAAACTGTACAATTAACAAGCAACGTTTTTGGATAAACACTAGAAAAAAAATAATTAATAATAATCTGTATATTTACAATGATTTATTTAGATGTGTGTGTTTGCAAGCACATCACTGATGTTTTTATTGTGTCGTCTCTCTGATGTGATGATGGTAATGGTAGAGTTCTCTACAATTTTACAATTGTATTGCCAAAGCCGTTCTAACGTTTACATAAAAATAAGAGAACATACATATATAATAAAAAACACAGTAAACAATAGTAGTAGGAAAAAAATAAAATAAAAAATAAATAGCTATATACATATTAAAATTAAATAAAAATATAAATAATATATCATAATATTATTCAATATTAGTTTTCAATACATCACATTATTATTCAATATATCACATTAGTTTTCAATATATCACGTTACAATTTAATATATCACATTATTATTCAATATATCATATAATTCATATAATATTATTCATTTATAACAATAAAAATAATAATAGATCAGAATAACCTGTACATTTAACAATCAACATTCTCTCTCTCTTAATTCAACTGAATTCAATTCAATAATTGCTTTATTGGCATGACAAATGTTACAAATGTATCGCCAAAGTATTTCTAAACATTAAAACATATTATTACATTGAAGAAAAAAGAACATACATGTATAATAAAAACACCGTAAACACAGTAAATAGTAGTAGTGGTAAAAATACCATATATATATATATATATATATATATATATATATATATATATATATATATATATACATATTATGTCGTGTAATTAGGATAATCAGGAAATCTCCTTTCAAAGGCCACCAATCACTTCACTGAGCAGCAGTCGGGTGTCATGACCACAGGCGGCATAATAACACATCCATATCTCAGCAGGGTCTGTCATGCTTTTGGGTCCACATTCATTGTGTTACGAGGATATTTGCAAGTGTTGTGATCGATTTGCTGCGCGTTTCTTTAGTTGTTTGTGTTTTGGCCAATTTGCAACACGTGTGCTGTCAAATTGATGAAGATCGTTTCTTTATTTGCTGTTTTTTTTTTGTAATTGCCTGTGTTTTCTTCAATTGCAGCACGTTAAGCTCTCTCGGCCACCAAATTTTTTACATTTATAAAGAACTTATTACACTAAAAAACAAGAACAATCTCATTTATAACAACAGAATTACATTAGTTTTTGCCCTAATTTGCTTGCTGATGTCTTCTGCATAGTCCTCCATTCGTCAAATGACGGTATTTACATTTGTTTTTTAAATTTAATTCATTTACAACATTTAATTTCAGTTAGCTTTTTTGTAGCCCAGCAATAAAACAAACAAAAAAAGGTTTCGTTTAATTATAAATGTAGATGTTTTTGTTAAAGGCATTATCATCTGAGAGGAGAGTGAGAATGATGGGAAGGTGGGCCAAATCAAAGGTTACAATGGGCCAGCTTTGGCCCGTGCCCCTACTTTGGGCATCTCTGTTCTAGAGCAAAGGAAAAAAACAATGTTTTTATAATAATAATAATAATAATAGGCATATATATGAGCAATATCACACTAGTAACAGTGAGATGTGACTGCATATCAGCACTGGTGGGAGGTGTGCTTTGGTTTGAGGCTGCAGACCACCCCCCACCAGTGACTACACACACTTCAGAGCTATTTGAATGATTCTCTAGCGTAATGTCTAAAGTGATGACAAAAAAAGCTGATTTTGCTCACATTTTAAGATTATAAGGCTGACCGGCATGAAATGCCATCAGTCTACAGAAATTTCCCACTGTTACTCTGTTGTAATCGGTATATCAAAATAATTAACCCGAAAAAGCCAGAGCAAAACATTAAAAGTAAAACATTAGCAAAACATTAGCAGATTACTATGGTATACACTACAAAATACATGAGAGAATGACTTAGAATGCCACTTACCTGTTTAATAATGATTTGTTCAGCTTTAGTTTAAAATGTACGTAGAGAAAATGCAGAGTTTTTGTCCTCTAAGGACTGAATCCCCTTATTATGCTGTCTCTGTTGCCATCTTTTGGCAGAATGTCAACCATCACTGATAGCAGCTGATGCACTTTATCTGATGCTCCGAAATTAAATTAATATTAAATTTAATTAATATTCAAAATATTCATTATCCTCAAGAATAAACTGCATAGTTGCAATCCAAACAACTACATTCTCGTTGAATGTTATTTGTCAATATATTTGTCAAACTGTAGAGTGTCCTCTGCTTGTTGCTGTATGTGGGCGGAGTAATACACAAGGGTGAAGAGGCTGTACTAGTGCTGTTATTTACAGAATATGGCACAGATCAGCCAATCACCTTCAAGAACTAGACAGAACTGTTGTATAAATAAATAAATAAATAAATAAATAAATAAAGTAGTCAATTAGCTGTTTTAATAAAAACAATGTTTTGCAACTAAAGGAGAAGGGAAATGAATAATAAAAAACTATAAGTTTATTATACATCTCTGTACATAACTCGTTCTCAGTGTAACATAGAGTAGTCTCAATACTGTTTTCTTTTACAAGAACATAGACAAAGTCTTAAACATGCAGTTTCAACACAAACCCAACATTGACCAAGGCACAAATCACTTATGAGTTATTCCTGTCGCAGTTTGATCGACACTGATGCAAGAGAATTAAATGTTGTTTTAAGTTTATGCTCGTTTGCTAAAATTCAAAATGCAATTTAACAACAGTAAGGGAGTGATCCAACAACATGTATCCAAATATTGCAAACTGTTGCAATCCAAAAGCACCACTGACTAAGCATTCCTGATTCATGTTCATTCTGCATGAGACACATTTAGTCCTTTTTACTCAGCATGAATAACCTCCCATATGTCGCTCAGTCACTTTTGCAGCCCATTCCGCTCACATCGCTTATTCTATCCATCTTTAAGCCGAAGCAGTTTTTCCGTTTGTCTCTGTTTTTGGGAGGCTGTTTTTTGCGTGACTGATCACCGGATGACGGCCGCTGTTTTGCGCCGGTTTTCGCGTCCAGATCTGGAGGCTCTTTGGCTGCGCGCGACCTGTTGAGCGCGCTCCTGCTCTCTGCTGCGGGGAGAGTTTTCGTGGACTGCAATAGAACATGCAGATCCGTGAAAAGAGGGGTATTTACATTTAATTGAAGAAACAGCTTTTGTTTAGGCTAGTATAAGCATTTATTATATATTTGACAGCATTTATTTACTATAAGCTAACGAATGGAATATAAAAATAATGCTAATAAAAGAGAAAATAGGAAAATAGGTCTGTTTACAATTGTAAACAAACCTATTTTCTCTTTTAATATCATTATTAACGTACAGCCACTGTAGAAATGCGATTGTGGTCCCACACAATTTAAAAAAAAAACAAATGTGTTGGGACAACATAAAGGAATTAATGTAACTTATTATGTCTTACAAATTTAAGTAGATGGAACATAACACAATTGAGTTGTCCCAAAAGAAAACTCAATCATTGTGTTTCAGCTCATTTTAATTGAGGTAAAGTTGGTTTTATATTTGCACATTCGGTTTGAAATCACAGCTAAGTATGAACTGAAACAACATTAGCACTGACTGTAGACAATGGTGTACTTTGATAGTAATTTGTTGCTAATATCATTTCACTATTTAGAATTTGCAAAGCACATTTTTTTTTCTAAAATTAGCCTATATTATTAAGAAGAAAGTCTCAATGTTTGAATATAAAACCAACTTTGCCTCAATCTCATTTTAGATAAGTATAGTAGTTTTTTTAAGTGTACATTTGATAATTAAACCGCAATTTAGCCATCTTAATTTACGTAAACTGTTTTTTTAAACTAATAAAAGGGCAATAAAACTCCACAAACCTTGTACTGGACTGTGGTGAAGGGTTTTGCGTAAAGTGACAGACTGACCACGAGCAGTCCGCAAAGAAGCGTGTAAATCATATCCATCCCAGAGACTTCTCTGACAAATCACTGCGAATGCAAACGTGCTGGATCACACATGCCCACTTTCACAATGCTTTATAATCCAGCTGTGATGTCATGGCGATTTAAATAATAGTGTAGTGCTTTGATGCAGTAGCCTTTAGCTTTGTAGTTTAATGTTGTAGTTTAAGGAAAAAAAGAAGCGCACCTATGCTAACAAAATAATTTATAAAACTGTAATACAATATAAATGTACATTAAATAAATAAACCCCAATTGCTTTAGCACAAATGGGCACCGTCACAACGTACAGGCTATTTACTAGCAAGATTTTGTTTAATCGCGGATGTTTGAGAAGAAGGAATAATAATAATAATAATAATAATAATAATAATAATAATAATAATAATAATAATAATAATAATAATAAATAAGCGGTTCATTCCGCTGTGGCCCCTGATTAAAAGAAACTGAGCCGAAAAGAAAATGGATTAATTAATATTATTATTTATTTAAATTTTGTTATTTTAACTCAAGTTGTAAGAATATATATATACATAATTTAGCTGCATGAATTTATTTTTTTGCCAATAAAGTTATATTTGCACCTGTATAAAAAATTATAAAGAAATCCTTCCATTTCACCCCAAAACATGACGCTTCAGGCACATGAGCGCTTTAAAACTACAATTCCCAAGATGCAATCGTGACGCTTTTTTTCTTTTTTTAAAGGATCCGGAAGAGTTCGTAGGGGGTTGTTCAGAAGTGTTCAGTGAAATAGACAAGAGTAACTGTAGACGGTGAGTTGTCATTTATATGCCTATCTTCATTTTGAGTTGTTCATTGTGATACACGTATGTTTTAATAGTCACGAGGACTAACGTTAACGTTAGATAGCTGTTTAGTTCGTAGTTAAATAAACAGTGTGCGTCACACGCTGTTATGTGAATATTACCCTTCATTGCTAAACTATCAGTCCTACAAATCTTTTATTTTTTATTTTTAGGAAATATTATTTCAAACATATTGAAAGTCCTTCCACTGTTTCCCCATGCTTATTAGCTTATAGCATAATTTCAGCTAAGCTAAACATTAAATGGCCAATGCAGGTCCTGGTGAAGTTTTGGACAAAGCAAAACATAAAAAAATATTTTAATACAAGACCCAGACTCTAAATCCTTAATTCAGATTTGTGGAAATGTGATTTATGTCAGTTATTACATGGTAACTGTACAACCACAGTCTCTTTCAGCTGTTGCTGTTGTGTTCATTTTTGTCTACTCCATAGGGAACATTGTGATTGAAGATGGTTCTTGAGGTGATATATGAGACACACGCAGCTCATAATTTACTGTTTAAAACTTATTCAGTTTAATTTCGGAAGTTCTAAAAATCCTATTTATTTGTGTGAATTTAGGGTTGATTTAACCCTTGTGACTACAGGGGTTAGACAATGCTCCAGTAGTCAGCAGGTGCTTTGAGCACAAATCCCCAGAGAGTAGCGCAGTGAAAACAGTGTTGCCAACTATTTCCAACGAAAAGTAGTGTTGCCAGATAACATCACACACTAATTTGCATGTCAGTGACATCATCACGTAGTATCTGACAAGCGTAAGCCCGTCATGGTTCTACTCTCTAAGATGCCGTGTATTATATTATATTAAAGCATTACATCCAGATGCACAATAAATAGGTTAAATTTTACTTTGAGTGATGATGTCATTGCGTAATCAAAACTCAAAACTTCATGTATTTCTTTATGTACTCTTTATGTAGTATAGAAAATAATTAATGTTTTTTTTAAATTGACTGGCCATCTCAGCAAAAACATTATTTGAAATATGTCCATTAAAATTTGTATGAAAACTTTTTGTAAAAGTAATGCAAACACTGTTTGATGAGAATTTTTTTTACAGCTTGTGTACTTGCTCTTTTTAACTTTATTTAATAAACATTTGTGAAAGTGACAACAATTATAGCACTATTGGAACTTATTGCTGCCTAAATTACCCACAATTATACCTGTTTACAAATATCAGTAAGTTAACAGTTCTGAAAAACAATCTGAGCCAGCAATTTACTCTATAGGGTATATGCCGAGCTAGTGTTTTTCCCATACTGATAAACGTCCGGTGACCTGTTATTGTGAATTTTTTCCAATTTATACGGTTGCTTTTACAGCATCGATGTTGTAATGCAGTGGTTTTCAAACCTTTTTCATCAAGTACCAACGCAGAAAAAAATTGTCTCTCCTAGTACCACCAAAATGAGCAGTATTGAAATACAGTAGCGTAGTAGGCCCAATAAAGCAGCTACAACTCTGCACAGTTAAAAAAAAACGTGGCAGATTACCTCAGAAATATAGCCTATATGTCTTATATGGCATATTTTATACATCACTTTTAATTTTTAAATGTGTGTAGCATGTACATGACATATTTCATTTCTCCGTGTACCACTAGAAGGAAGTCCGCGTACCACAAGTGGTACACGTACCACAGTTTGAGAACCACTGTTGTAATGTCATTAAAATACATTCAGTTAAATAAACATCTGACATTAAACGCGCCGATTTTTACATTGGCATACAATTCACTGGAAATGATTAACCCAGGTTACTAGCAAATTCAAAGTCCTATTAGCATGCTTCGTCATATAGCCTATTGCGTGAAGCCCGCAGCAACTGCTCTTTTGAGTCACTGTTTAAAATGAATGTTAAAAAGTTGCTAAATTTGTTGCTAGGTGCCTTTTGAAAAACAGTTGCTAGGTTAGTATAAAAAGTTGAACGCGTCAACGCTTGACAGAGCGTGTCTGAAGTTGGGGCTGAAGCGATTGTCATAGAAGCGTCAGCCAAAGAAATTCAGTCAGCAATAGGCCACTGTCTAGCTGGTGTATTTGCACAAAGCGATCTGATTGGCTAACACTTCCGTCGGCACTTGAAAAGTTGAGCTAGTCCCAACTTCTGCCTCTGAAGTGGCGCCGACGGATCCAAAATGCAGTTCGGAAACGCCTGACGTCACTCATTCAATGTGAATGGGAAACGTTGACGAATGTGCCCCATGTGAATGGGGCATGAGGGAAAATTAAACCGCACTAAACTGAACTCTGAAATCTAAACTGACGCAGTTTTAGTTTACTAGAACTTCAGTGTTAAGCTGCTTTGACTCAATCTATTATAAAAGCACTATCGAAATAAAGATGAATTGAAAGCCCTGCCTTGTTAACCTTATGTAACAGCAACGTGTTGATTTATTGATTGAGTTATTGATTTTATTTTCCAGAGATTATGGCATTTTCCCCTAAAGCAAAGAGAACCCCCAAAAATAAAGATGGGAAAGGTGCGCAAAATCTACCCAAACCCCAGAAGGACGCTTACTCCAGACTTCTGAATCAGCACCAGAATGGCAAGTTTCGTTCTTACTTGCAAGAGTTTGTAGAGCAGCAGTCAGAGGAGAACGCGACTACATCGGTTAGCAGGTCTGATGCCAACAGGAGAAAAAAAGGCCATTCAGAGTCATCCTATTTCGGTGATAGCGTCTCCTCTCCGCAGAGTAGGCCGATGTTGGCTGACACTTTCA